ATCACTGAAGAGTTGGGGGGCATGGAGGAGTTCATGAGTGTAGCCTTTGTAAACGGCGGCGGCGGCGCCACCCTTTTTGTTCGAATCCGCCTTTTCTCCATCATCTTTGTTATCTTTCTTATGGCTTACAAATTTAGTGACTTTGAGAACCTGAGCATGCCTCCCTGCCCTTTGGCTCATGAACTCCACTAGGCTTTCAGGGCTCATGGTTCCCTTCACTCTAACTGTGTCACTCTCCATGTCTGGATCCACTATTTGTACCCCTACAACATCAACATCAATTCACTTAATACAACACCACAATCGAGATTCTGCACCGAGTAAACCAGCTTTGTGATCTCAATATCACAAGGAGCTAAATTAGTCTAGATTGTTTATAACTGATTGATCGACTCAAATCAAGAAAGTTAATAGGCCATTTTCTACTGAGAGTCAAACTATTTTTTTTGGATATACCCAGAGTTTCCACAGTCGGACTCAAATGTAGACACCTCTTTTGGATTGGACAACTGGTTTAGAGATTTAAGGCTGCTCCATTCCCAAAGACTGAAAGTCAAACTATGAACCTTGTGGTTACCAAGTCAATAGCCCGACCAACTTATCTGAGATTTGAGAGGCTGTGAAAAATGATTTGGGTAGGTAAAATAGTTACCTGGCAATTTGTGGAGACAGTGCTTCACTTCCTTAGCACATGCTTCACAGTGCATATATACTTTCAATATAACCTCCATCACCTTTGGCTGTACCAAAAAGATTACAAAAAAAAAAAAAAAACAGTTTTTAAAATGAAGATGAAGACCAAAAATGTTAGAAAACTACAGATTGAGATACAAGATTAGACCTCTTGTATTTTAGGTTCTTTCTTGTGTTCTTTCTTGGGCTTGGGAATAGGAAATATGAGCTCCACATATTTCCCAGTCTTCTTCCTTAGCCTCTCAGTCACCATAATTGGATCTGCATTCTTCCCTTTCACAGTCGCTCTGTGATTACTCTCATCAACTTCAATCCCTTCCACTCCTATAAGACACTCAAACAAATTAAATCAAAAAAAAAAAAAAAACCAACAATAGTTAAAGAAGATTTGTGCATGCAAAATATAATCACCGTACCATCAAAACCAATGAGTGAGTCTCTGACAGTGTCTGCACAGCCTTTGCAATGAATGTAGACTCCCAAGATAATTATCCCTCCTGGGTTCTGCTCTTCTTCACCTTTTTTCCCCTGTAATTTTTATGCATCAACTAAGATGTAGCAACATTATGAAGAACAAAAGTAAATTTAACAATGATACTAATAAGCACTCAAAAAAATAACTTTTCTAGAAAAATCCAGTCAAGTTGGCCGGGTTATTGACTTAGTAATTACAACATTACAAATTTAATTTTCTGCCGATTACTCAGCTATAGACTTATTGACCTTTTTGGTTTGAGTCACTCATGCTTATCAACCATCTTGAATTGAGCCAAATATGGATCTACTGACTTTTTTGATTTGAATCAATCAGCTACGGGACAAACTAAGTTGTTTACCTCCACCAACTAGGGTTACAAGGCGGGATTAATCCCGTGCACACCCTCGAACCATGACTGTTGGTTTCCACGTCACTAAAATATATATATATATATATATATATATATATATATATATATATATATATATATATCTTCCATCCCCAATTTGCAAGAGAGTGACAATCCGAGAATTGGGTTCTTGAAATGTTGTTAAGAGTAATTTTTTGAGAGCCAAGGAAGCAAGTTTTCTTACCTTCCCCATTCTTCTGTTGAGTCTGGAAAGCTGAAACCGCAGAGGGCAGTACCAAACAATCTCAGATGTATACTTAATAACAAAAAGGATGAATATATAGAGAGGAATTGAAGAATTCTGAAGAATATAATAATGGCACTATTGCATCTGGTACACTGTACTGATTGATTTACACTGCTAAAAGTGGAATGACATCTGTGAAGTTGATTGCACAGAAAAAAAAAACAGCAAATTTAGTTATGGCAAAATCAAGAATTAATGGTAGTTTACCTGAGAAAGTTGTATCAAAATGTTATGGAATCACTAAATCCAGAAACTATGTTGGTAACATAATAAAAGGGTTTAAGGAAAAGTAATAGTCAGTATTTATGGTGCTTTATTAACTTAGAGGATTCAATGACTCATGACTGTGCTTGAAAGGACAAACGTTTCAGATTTAATATTTATTACTTAAAATTGAATATAAGGTAGAGTAAAAGTGTACACATTAAAATGCTAAAAATGTGTTTTCTTTTCCTTCTAAATTTTATGATAATAAAATTCTTTATATTTATTAATTCGACAATTTAGATGATTGGTAAGTGAACCGACAATCTAATTGCAAGATGAATAATAATGGAAATATATTGTATGACGTGATATTATTTAAAACTAAATGAAAATAAATAATTTTTCTTATCTAATCGATAATTTTATAAATTTAGACGGTGGATATAACATTATTCAATTCTTAAAATATTTGGATAGTGCATTAAGAATTAAAAGTGGCATTATGGCCGAAATAAATATTTGTTTCAGATTTAATATTTATTACTTAAAATTGAATATACTCTCTAGTAAAAGTGGACACATTATGGCCGAGATATTATTTTCTTTCCCGCCCCGATGTTAGCGTTAGTTTTGTTCCCAGAGCCGAGAATAGTCTTGCTCATTTTTTCACGAGTTAATTATTGAAATGGTCCATTAATTATAGCGAAATTATTAATTTATTTTTTTGATTATTTTTTTATCAATTAAGTCTCTAAACTTTAAAAATTTTAACTAATTTTGTTCTCCGTTAGTTTTGCTGTTAAACATCCGTTAACTCAGGACTAAATCGATAATTTTGTTATAGTCAAGGGATCATTCCGATGCACAACTTTAAAAATTTTCAATTTTGGTGCTTAACTTTGTTATTTTTATCAGTTTTGGTCATTTCAACCGAATTGACAACAAAATATTGCTGGATTTTATATATTTTAGGGGTAAAATCGTGATCTCAAGGAAACGTCTTCAATATCTAAACAAAACCACTGTAAAATCATATCTATATGTGTTTGATTGATGAGACTAATGAGGAAGACGGGCAGAAACTAGCCATAGATCTATGAGATTTATAACATCAACGATTGACAAACTCTTATTTTTCTCTTAATATGATTTTTCTTTTGTTTATAGATTGAAGATATTTCCTTGAGATGACGATTTTGTCCCTAAATATAAAATCTGGCAATATTTCACCATCAATTTAGTTGAAAGGACCAAATAAAAATAACAAAGACACCAAAATTGAAAAAAAAATAATGTTGTCCACCAAATGATAAGACCTCAAAAATCGTGAGACGAAAAGTGAAATTAATTCAAAAGCTAATTACCAAAATCGTCGGCATATCTGAAACTGATGGGTGACTGATGAATTTTGGCACTAAAACATTAGTCGTGGATGAAAATTGATACTAAAACAATAGTCGTGGGTGAAATTTGGTAGCAATTAAATATATAGACCAAAATTGTCATTTTGTTAGTACTCGTGGGATCAAGATTGATATTTGCTCTATATACCTACTTATAATGTAACATTCTACAATTTTATATTAAGATTTTAATATAATAATAATTAAATAATAAAAAAATGGCAGATATAGGTGTATAGTAATAGTGATTAAAGTCATCAATGTTAAAATTCATTATAGTAAGTGAGTTATAATGGTCTAGAGGTGGTTTTGTTTAAAATATGTAATAAGAACATTTGTATTCAATAAAAATGATTTGGTTTTGATTTTGTATGCTAGCTAGCTTCATCCATTCCAATAATTTTCAATTCGTTTCTGCACTATAAGAATTATTATAGAGATTGGATATGGGCCATAATACAGGGCAAATTATGCATGCCCTGGACCCGTGTCCACAATTCATTGTGGACACGAGCCCAAAACGACATCATTTTTCAAAATAAACGCGTCATTTAGTTAAAAAAAAAAAAATCGCGCGTGTTTTGGCGTTAACGGCGTTATTTTTTTTTTTTTTAATTATGAATGTACAGTTGTGCCGTTATGAATGTACATTTATGTAATTATGAAATTATGAACACAGAGCTCTAACATTATGAACTTACAATTATGAACATATAGTGATAAAATTATGACCATGGAGCTTTAAAATTGTAAATATAGAGCTTCGAAGATTATGAATGTACAGTTATGGAGTTATGAATGTACAGTTATGGAGTTATGAATCTACAATTATGGAGTTATGAATCTACAGTTATGAGATTATGAATCTACATTTATGGAATTATGAATATACAGTTATTGATCGAATTATGAACAAAGAGCTCTGACATTATGAACTTACAATTATGAACATATAGTGATAAAATTATGAACATAGAGCTCTAAAATTGTGAACATAGAGCTTCGAAAATTATGAATGTACAATTATGGAGTTATGAATGTACAGTTATAGAGTTATGAATGTACAGTTATGGAGTTATGAACGTACAGTTATGGAGTTATGAATGTACAGTTATTAACATATAGTAATAAAATTATGAACATATACTCCTATAACGAAGCGGTCTGAAATTAAAAAAAAAAAAAAAAAAAAAAAAAAAAAAGATAACAGTGCCTAACGCCATGCTGGACACGGGTCCATAGCATAACGATTGATAATACGGACAGGACCTGCTAAAATGATAATGCTTTTTGGGCTAAATTATAAAGATAGAGTTTTAAGTTGTTTTCATTAATATCATCAAAAGATTTAAATCTTGATTTCTTTAATTAGAAATTGAAAAGGTCGGAATCCATCCCCTTGAAAGACGGCGACATGTTCGAGGTACCACCAAAATTTCCTGCCACGTGCTCTGTCATCCCGCCTCCACGTGGCGCTCATGCCACTTCAGCTACACGTGTAAGCGCCTCTGATCTCAAAGTTTCGGTCCGGTTTTCTTCTTCTTCTTCTTCTCCCCCCATCTCTTCACTCACTAATTAAGCTGAATTGTGAAGAAAATTAAAAATGTCAGGAGTAACCCTAGCGGTGGCTCCGGATGAGCCGAAGCCGTCTTTGCTAAGGCCGCAGCAAAAGCCGCGGCGGCGGCAGCAGCAGGCGGTGGGTATAATGGGGTCTCTCCGGGTGGTGGAGCTTCAACTAGTAGCTTTCATCATGGTCTTCTCCGCCAGCGGCTTAGTGCCGCTCCTAGACCTGGCGTTTCCGGCGCTCTCGTCCGCCTATCTCCTCATCATTTCCCGGCTAGCGTTCCCCTCCCACGGCGGCCGTTCTGGGTCGCCGGAATTGTTTCAGGGGGGTGCGCTTTTCCGTGTTTACGTGGTGTTTGGCACCGCTGTCGGGCTGTTCCTGCCGCTGGCTTATGTGTTGGGTGGATTCGCGAGGGGCGACGAGCATGCCGTCCGATCAGCTACCCCTCACCTCTTCTTGCTGTCTTTCCAGATACTAACGGAGAATATCATAAGCGGATGGTCTCTGTTTTCGCCGCCTGTAAGAGCCTTCGTCCCTTTGCTTTACACTGTTCGCCGCGTCTTCGTCATAATGGACTGGATACAAGATGTTTGGGTTAACAAATCATTGCCTGCAACCCCAGATTTCAAGGTATATATATATAGTAACACATACATACATACATACCAAGCACCAATGTAATATAATGAATCCAATTAACTATATAGTTTATATGCACGGAGTGGAAGTGACCTAATAGTTTACAAGACGGGATTTACTCAATGTACAAGTTCATTAGTGGTGGTGGTCAAAGTAGCTTTTTGGGAAAGTCATTTTACATATAATCAGTTATCAGTTATCAGCTGCTGTTATCAACTAGTTAAACCCACTAACTCAATCAGCTACCGCTAGTTTACTGAATGATTAAGTTTTGTGCAGGATGTTTCATGGCACTGGTTCGGGAGGGGGCTGGCGGTGGCTAATTTGGTCTACTATTCTGTGAATCTGTTGGGGTTTTTGATTCCGTGCTATTTGCCGAGGGCGTTTGAGAGGTACTTTAGGGAGAGGGATGAGATTGTTGCCAAGACGGGAGAAGACTATAGGCGCTACTCGCCTGCAACAACGCAGATAAATAAGCAGCAGCAGCCTCATGCAGAGAAGGCAGATTAAATTAGTGTTTAATTTGATAGAGCTGAGTAGTAAAGGAAACCTCCTGTAGTTACAATATAATTAATGGCGGTACTATACGTTCCATCTGTGATATCACTTCATCCATCAGATCAGATCAGATCAGTTTCATTCTGATAGAATTATGGACTTTTCCATTGATGTTATTTGTGCATGTGTGTTTATGTTTAATTTCTGGTTTTCTTCCCCTCTAGTATTGAAAAATCAATCAATCAAGGTCAGCACTTTCCGGTCTAGTGCAAACAGCTAGGATTAGTTTGATCTGCGTACGGTACGGGAAGGGTGGGTCTGGTAGGGTGCGAGATTAATGGTGTTTCTTACCTTAAGAAGGGTGGGTCTGGTATAAATAAAGATTAGTCTAGGATTAATCTGAGTAGGATGCGAGATTAAAGGTGTTTCTTAGACAGTGCCGGCATGCGCACAGGGCCCCCAAACTCTTAGACAGTGCCGGCATGCGCACAGGGCCCCCAAAGTTTGGGGGCCCCAAATATTACGAAGTATTTGGCCCCAAATATTACGAAGTATATATCATATATCATATGTACATTGTGCCCCCAAATTTTGGGGGCACTTTTATTTTATATATATATATATATATATATATATATATATATATATATATATATATATTATTGTATATTTATATTGTATATATTACTTTTGGTGTAAAAATGTATAAAGAAATTAAATTAAGATTGTCTAAAATTTTAAAACGCTTGCTTACATTCTTAATTCCTAGGAATAGAGTTATAGTCCTATAACTTATAAGAATTGAGACGGGCATATTTGACTATTGTAAAATTTTATATATAAAGGGTAAAAAATTACTCTTATTTATATTATAATGTATATATGCAAGATTTGTATTCACAAATCATAACGCATGAATTCGGTCTCAGTAATTATTAATTTGAAGTGCATTGTTTTTGCATTTGATACTCTCAATTTTTTTATTCTTTACGATAAAAGAATGGAAAGTATTTAAGTAATTAAATATTTTAATTTTTTAATTTTATTCAAAATTTTAAAATTATTAATTCAATAACTAACCCTAGCTAGGAATTTTTTTGATAGGTGAATAACAATCTAATTTCTTGTATTTTGATACTACAATTGATATACAATTAGTCTTGACTATTTCCATTACTGTTGTTTATGCATAAAGAAGTTTTTAAAAGTTGGAGTGGTTGAAATCTTACTTATGGCCAAGCATACTGTAAGAAAGACACGACGAATTGGTGAATAATTTTACATCTAAATATGCCCGAAGAAGAAGAATGTCACTTTTCAAGTGAAAATTTGAGTGATAAATTTTTTATAGACTATTATATATTTTGATATAATATAATATATCTTTTATGTATTTACAATTATACAAAAGGGGCCATGTTGAATTTTCACACAGGACCCTAATTTTTATAGGAACGACCCTGTTCTTAGGTTAAGGCTTGTTCAGAATATTTCGTGGTCTGAACAAAAAATAAATTGTGGTTTCATGGATTCTTATGTACTCTAGGTACACAAGGTTAATACTTGCGGTGGACATCTTTTTTTTTTTTTTTTGATTCGATTTGGGTAAACTAATATAGTCGAGTCTCGGTTATATTTTTAAGATGTTGCATGACATTAGTTTGGGAGGGTGCTGGTCATGGTTAATCTAGTCTACTTTTCTCTCAACTTTCTTATAAATTTTCTAGCTTAGAAGGTCGTCCATGGCATCATAGCAAGAGGATGGAATTGCCCTTGTTTATGTCCTTTATGAATAGCCATGGCTGTCTAAAGGATAAATTGGTCGTGTATGATTGTTTAAAGCCATGACTATATATCTATGACCAAGTTTTCTATTTTAATTATTTTTATTAAAAAAATGATTAAAAATAAAATAATATATATGGTTTTCATATGATAGTCACATCATCAATTCATAACTTAATTACAATCACGGGTAATAAATAAGTAAATAGCGTGTAATTTTATTTTTCATTTTCTTTTATAAGATCACGAAGTAATGTGCTTTTTTAAGACTGTGATCAAACTTTATTTGTTGGTCAAGAAATGCATAACTAGATACCTCATGGGTGATGTAACTTAGCCCATTAATATAACTAAATTAAGTTGTGAAAATCTGTAACATCTCATCCCTCCAATTGTTGGTTTGAATGTTTTGCCCTAATCAAGCATCTTGAGGCTCTAGAAGAATTGACCGGACCACAAATTGATTGAAATTTATTTTTTTATTTCTTACTATTAAGTTCAATTTAATTGTCTTTAGTATTTGTTTTTGGGTGATAGAAGGAAATTCATAATCATTACCAGAAAGTGTGCATTGAATGACATCCATTTTGTGATTCTAGTCGTCAAAGGACTACAATGATGTAAACTAGCATAACTTGTTATCGGCTCAAACAACAAATTATACCATGGATTATGATCTGTCTTACATTGTGGGTCCTAATTCAAAAATAATATTCAAATTTTGTACCTGCACTTCACCGTTTATATACATGTAAACAAAATGAAGTTAGGCACATTACATAGTAATTATAGACACATAACATGATAAATACAGACACATATACTAATAACTGCATGTACATAATATGTTAACGGTAGACACATAACATGTTAACTAACATTTTATGTGTCTGCAGTTAACGTATTTTGTACTTGTAATTAAAAATTTATATGTCTGTAGTTATTATTTAGAGTTAATGTCATCTTAAGTCCTTCGAGTATAGTGATTTTGCCACTTTTAATCTTAAATTTTTAAATTGACCATCCATTTCAAATTGTTACCATCTGCGATCCAAATTAACCATGCATCCATGATCATTCAACTTTTAAATTTTAACTAGATGTGGTCCTCTTGGAAGGATCATGAGTGGTTAAAATTTGATAATTGAAGGGTCATATGTGGTTAACTTGAACTACATATGGTAATAATTTGAAAGTAAACATGGCAAAATCATTATACTCGGAGGACCATAGATGGCATTAACTCTTATTACTTACTATACTCGGAGGATCACAAATGATATTAACTCTTATTACTTATATATATGTCTGGGCCAATATGCTGCTATCACAAGAAGTCGAACTTGTAACCTTGTGATTAATATGTGAATATTTTTTTTTTTGTGAGACTTAATGTATTCTCACGTGAATAGTTGTATGATTTTGATTGCAGAAAATAATTAGTTAAAACGAAAGACAGAGAATACAGAGAAAATAATGGATACTCTTATTAATCATCTTTCAGTTCAATATATACAAAGTTCTAAAAAATTATGCCTCGTTATGCCTCGTTAAAACCTCACTAGAAAATTCTAATTGGAAAAAGTCTAGTGAGAAAAAGAGTATAAGATATATGTGTATTTCGGTGTTGCACTAGCTACCTCGTTAAAAAAAAAAAAAAAAACTTTAATTAAGAAATTATATACAAAAAATATCAATCAAAGAAAAAAGAGTACAATTCTTGGTCTTCAAATAATAAGTTTATATTACATAGATCAATTTTAACCAAACATAAATTTGACAATTTCAGTAATCTGACCTTTCTCACAATCTAGTATTCCCTAAGGTAATCTAACATTCTGTGAAGCAAACGATCGACATTTACATAATGTGTTGAGAATAATTAATATTTACAAGTAAACCATAACAGGACGTTTGGTTGGAGAGGGGAAATTACGTGGGAAAAGAATCGTAATTCCATGAGAGATGAATTACTGAGAATAAAGTGGAAATTTAAATTTCAATGTTTGGTTTACAGGAATAGAATTACTGGAAATTTCAATTCCAATGTTTGGTATACATGGGAATTGAAAGGGAATAAGTAGTATAAAGTTCAAAATGTCCATTGTTATTGTCAGACATTAATTTTAGGTTAAAAAATGAATGAGTAATTTTGACTCACCACTATCTTTTTTTCTTCCTAAAATCTCAGGAATTAAAATCGCAGGGGGACATGAAATTTTAATTCCATGAAAATGAAGGAATTGCAATTCCTTTCAACCAAACAAGGGAATTTTGTGACCTTTGGAATTATGTGGGAATTAAGTGAGAAAATAATTTAATTCCCTTCAACCAAACGACCTGTAACATGTACATATATATGAATCAAATTAAATTAATAATAATGATAATAATCTATTTTTCAATATAGTGAGATTCACGTGTGTTACAATATATTTATGTACGTACAATCACCATTACCCTTTTTTTTTTTTATGTCAATATTTTTACAATATGGAATTAAGTTGTTTTTATAAACAGAAAATAAGTGGTAATGTTCTAGAAATTGTTGTTAAGTGAGTAAAATATAATTTTTGTATCTGAATACTTTATTGGAATCTCAATAAATTTTGTTGTACAAAATCTTGTTAGTACAATATACCGTAATTTACAAGTTACTAATGAAAAAAAAAAAACAAAAACAAAAACAAAAAAAGGTACTCGGAGCTTCCCTGGATACTTCCTACTTTCCTAGTGGCATTGACTTTTCAAAACAAAGATTCTACACAGTACACCAGGCCACGTCATTTAGAATAAAATATACACAGAGTACAAGCACGTGTTGTGAATTGGAGCCATATTTATTGAAGAAAGGCAACACGAGTTCTGTACTTTAAATTGAAGCAATTAAGAAATGAAGCCAATTTAATAGAATCAAAGAAATGCAAGTAGGGTGAACCTACTTTGTCTTGTTAATTTTAATGAAAGAAATGCAAGCAAGGAGTATAATATTTAATTTTAAGTTTAATTTTTAATGAAAGTGATCGATCAGTTATAAACAACCTAGATTGAATTGATCAAATAGTTGACTTGATTTTGTTAACGAGTCAACACTAGTCAACGCTGTCTCCAATGAGACTCGATCTCATGACATCCTATATAGGAGAGTCACTACATGTCATGACAATAATATCGCATATACAATTCTTAAATTACTTTTGAAGGGAATATACCTCAACTTACCAAGCCTAACTCGATCATTTAAAATGGTCTAACATATAATCATGATTGACTCATAAATTAAGGTTCATGAAATTTAATGTTTATAAATTAACCTTCTCTCAAGAACCGTGTCTAATAAGTTTTCTCCTATATTCATTCAATTGAACTAGAGAGG